TTTTTTTTTTTTTTTCGTTAATACGTTTTTTATGATTTTTGTTCCAGTCAAATAATTTATGCTAAATATAAGATAAAGCCATATTGTCGTTTTGAACTCTTTTATTCACACAACTAACAAATTTTTTTGTTGTCTTATAAAATATGATAATTCTGTTCGACAACCATTAGGAAGTTATGAATTTGGTTGACAGAAATAACCAAAATAAAGCAACTTAAACATGATGAATTTTTTCTGTCGACGTTTAGAATCACTTGAACCGACGCTTTAAAACGTCTTTAAATTAAAGTTTTTTCTGACACTAGTAAATCATTAACAGTATACAGTTGCTTATAACTTTTCTTTTTTACAATGCTATTTATGTCACGAGAAAGAAGACCAGTTGAAATTTAATTTTATCTGCAAAAAAAAAAAAAAAATTTGCTAACTTTTCAACGTCATCACAGTCAATTGATGACCAAAAGTTGCTTTGTCATGCAACAGAATTTTGCAACCTTTCAACTTTATTGGAAAGTGTAATGGTCATTAACTGTTTATGCTGAGAGCTTGACCATTTTGTTGCCAAACAAACTTTTGTGTATTAGGTATAGTTGAGGTTTCCAGCCAATATACTCAAGTCAGTCATGGTACTTGAAAATTTTATTCAGCAAAAAAAATGATTAAATTTAAGGATAACATCAACAAAACAAACCGAAAATAAAAAGAATTTGCAGGAGATGTTCAATAAAATTTTTATAAAAATAAATTTGATTATATTATCAAAAAATTACATTGCAGCAAAAAAGAATCTCTTCGTCATAAACATCGTCGTTTTTTCGTTTAGTCATCTGCATATTTAGTTCAGTTTTTCTACCACGAACCATTCATCATACTAAGCATCATGCAGCACAGCCTCACTCTCATAATTATCAGACAAAATTTCTTACAAACAAAGTTGTTGATTTTTGAGACCTTTTCACTGTTGCTGCTTTTCAGCTCTGATCGACACACGAATTCTTAATGACCTTCATGAGAATTGGGAAGACAGAGAGAAAAAGAAGAAAACTTACGAAATAAACAAACACAACTATAGACTAAACTGACTTAGTCTGCATACATTATCGCTAGCACTGACCAATGGTCTTAATTAATGTATTTTGAGCAAATTAAGAGGCAGTTTTTATGTTTATAGTTTTCTTTTGATTTCCACTTCTTTTTCTTCTTTCCTCTCTTTTTGACTTCTCTGTTCATTCATAAAACTGGTAAATGCTGACCACAAGCCAAACAGATAAATGTTTGATTATTCTGCACAATTAATTCAAAGACTAATTAAATTATTGGCTAAAATGTCCATAAAGCTGCTTATTAACAAGTTGACAAAGAGCAAAAATTATTGGGTTTTGTTAGAAGAAAAATTTAAAGTTTTGACCTTTATTATTTGAAAGAAGAAACTCAAGCAGACTTAAAAAGACTGGTGAACAGAAAAATAAGCTATTTTGACGAGAAACACAGTAACCCGCTGAATATTTGGTTAAATTCTAAACAGCGGTAGCAACTGTTTCATGTTTTAATTTTATTTTTAGCCGTCACTAATTAAAAAACTGTTTTTACAAATAAATATGCATTTTTTATTTTCGTAATTACTGACAGATTAGTTGCTTACAGATTTCAAGATACGATACATGGCGCTGCTGAACTGCATGTGCAAAAGATGGATTCCCTGGTTATCCACTGTCCCACATTCAACGATTCTACACCGGCTGAACAAACCGAACAACTTGTCATATATAGGGTTAGTTCTTCGACGACAAAACATTGTGCATAATGCTTGGTTGGACAGCAATGATATTTCAGCTTCACAACTTTTCTTAGCGTTTTTGAAGTCCTTAACAGTAGCTGAGTTGGTCGATGTCATATTAAAGTGTAACTGTGACTTTCAATTTTTTAAATTTTTTAGGTTTCTAAATTTGGTTATGACAAATGTGTACTGCATAATGCTCAGGTTGTCGGTCGTTGTTCTCAACCATATTCGGCACTGAAAATTCGAACTGTATTTCGTGAATTTACTCCATTACCTAACGGTCTAGAATATGAACCTGGAAAATCCTATTATTTTATTTGTAAGCAGTTACAGAGTAACAGTCATAAGATACTATAGAAAATTTTGATGCTTTATGTAGGTAGTCAAAACCAAAAAAATTCTTGTTGTTATTTGTATCTTATTTATTTGAAGATTTTTAATGTAATTATACAATTCTCTGAATACATTTGATTAATATAAAAAAAATTTTTTTAGCAACATCTGATGGCTCTCCGCAAGGAATGGATTCGGTAGCTGGTGGATTATGTACGACAAAGAATATGAAGCTGAAAATACACATACACAGTAAATACTGGCATTTGTTGAACACCTTTAAATCAGTAACAAGCTGTTTTTTGTTTTTAATTAGCGAATGTTATAAAAAAAGCAACAGTAAAAAAATGACTGCAATTATCTCATTCGTAAAAATGCAGAAAAAAATCAAAATAAAATTTTTTGCTCGTAATAAAATATTTGCTTGCTTCTTAGGCAAATCAGCATTCAACTTTTCCAAGTGCTGACTTTTCATTTGCAGATTATCGGCATTCACATACCAAAAAACGTAACTATCATACGTCTACCAGCAGAAGCGTTATTAGGCACAGTGAAACTACAAAGTTGCCGGCATATTGGGATGAATTTCTGCACAAATTTTCTAAATTTCCTGTTGAATACCGCAAAGAGAATCGCCTTCGAGAGACCGTAGCTTTGGACAGTAACGGCATTAATGAAAACCATGATAATACAGCTTATGAGCATTCTGATGGATCGTTTAGCCAAGCATTACGGTTGAACCCAACATCAATACTATACGAAATTCATGAATTTGACGAAAGTAAGTACTCGGAATTTGATTATCAGATAGTCAGATAGTTTTTTTTGTTATATGAGCTCTCTTCATTCAATTTTAATCATCTACAGATTTCTTCAATTACCGCAGCAAAAGCACTAAACATACTTGTTGACAGTTACTGTGACAAACAGTTGCCAAATTTGTAAATGATCTCCAACTTTTAGGTGATGCAGCGTCAACGAGACATATATCAGGCTGGATGTCTTTATATGCAGTTTTGTTTATTCTTCTTAGGCGGGCATTGCTTATAAATTAATTTTTTTTATTGTTAGTTTTGTAATGTTTAATAGAGCTACTCTATTGACAATAGATGATTTAATCTGTATTTTGAAACAGAATAGCCACTCATCATTTACTTAGTGGGGGTAATATATATGGAAATGTGTCAAAAGAATATGAAGAAATTTTTGGTTTAATTTACGACATTCGTAGGCTATTCAATTTTTGAGTACAAATATATTTTTTGCTGCAGTTTACTGTCTGTAATCTTTTGTAATCGTTCAAACGGGTTCTTCATCTGAAAAAAAAAAAAGCCCCATAATTCAGATGATTTGTAATAGACGTTTCAAAATTGCTTTATCTAAAAGGAAAATGGAAGAAAGACTGTTATATTTTGTTTATAATTATTAATTTTTTAGTATCTAGTTCTTGAGAATGACTGAATTATATCGATAATTTGAAGAAAGCAATCCTATCTTTCACTCTACTGTTTTGAAACGCAAAGCCTTCGCAAAAACATCAATTAGCTATATGTGTGCTCAGGTTGTACTTTTAACCTGTAACTTTAAACTAGTACTGTGATATGTAATTATACGTTTAAACTTTTGTTTTTTTATTTACAGTTAAGCTATTTTGTTTAGTTTTAAATGACAATTAAAACATTGATGTTGCCGAAAAAGATGTTTGAGACAAAAATGTTCAAATCGGATAAATAAAGTTGAGCAATAAATATGTTTTACTGCTGTTGTTAATCGTCATTTTTACTGCAAAACTTAAAATTTACAATCACCAAAAATATCTGGTTGATGAATTTTTAGTTTTATTGCACAGGATGTTTCAGTCGTACTTTCTGAGCTAAAACAGCACTGAGATTAGTGTTTATTGGGTGGCTAACGGGAACTTAGGTTACGTAGCCGGTAGTAGTTGACACCATAAAACTTTAATTCATGTGCATTTCTGCAGCAGCAATAATTGTGTAGAAAAAGTTTAGTTTTATTGCCGCTTAAGAACGATTCCAAAGGAACTTTTTTTTCTGCTGCTTCTTCTTTTGAATTCTCCAGTAAGATGACGAGTCGTTGACCAGTTTGGCTTCTTCGGTTGTGACTGAATAAATTTATATAGATAGAGGACTTGCACAGAAATTCTTCTGACAAAGCTGGAAATAAATCAACACAGTCGTTATCTGTTTAGAGTAAATAAATGAATGAATAAAGCAGTTAAAAAAACCGAGTTTTATTAGCTGCTAAATCAGCGCTTCAGATATTAAA